GCATGAATTTTTTCTAACCTACTTTAATAAGGGTTCAACCTCTCCTCTAGCCCACCACCCACCAGAGGTAGTGGAAGAGAAAATTTATTAGGACACAGGGGAAGTAGACCTGTTTAGAAATAGTTCTTTGGGGGAGAGTTCAATCTTCATTGTCAAGATATCAGCAGTTCAGTCCAGTAGCAAACACCAAATATGAATCAGTAGCTTTAGTCCAGTTCATTGGACAGACACCACACACAAACCAGCAAGAGCAGTTCAATCCAGAAGAAACCCAAGGCTTTCCAACTGGCTTGAGGCCGCAGAAGTGGCAAGAAGCCACAGGAACCTCACCAGACATTCTTTGGCAAGTTTCTCTCAATGCTGTCACCCCAAGCAGAGCTTAGCACTGCAGTGTAAGTTGGACCAATACATGCATGTCATTAGCGAAGAATAGAGAAGAAGAGCAAAGCAAATCAATGCTCGAGCTCCCACTGTCTGTGGGGTCTTATTTATATTCCTTCTGAACATCATGCATCCTTTCATGTGTTTGTTATAGCAAAACATCCTTTCACTTGTATCTGCTTCAGGAAAACATTCTTTCACAGTATCTGCTTCAACAAGGTGTGCCCCAGCAAAACATCATTTGACATAACTGACTTTCCAAAGAAACCAGAAGTTTCCACTTAATCTGTTCACCTTAGATAGGTCACCATAAACAAAGCAAAGAGTCCACTCATGTTGAGTTGTGGCTTGCACATGGGCATGGGTCCTGTGGGTTGAGTTGTGGGTCCCACATGTCTGCCACTCCGAGAGGCTAGGGCCGTGGCTCAGAGGGCAGAAGCGCTGGAATTCGACTGTGCTCACTCCACACCACACCGGGTGGATGCTGGGCTCTGGGAAGCCCTGTGACTCTGCTGCGGGGTGGAGAGAACATAGTCTGAGACCCTGTGTGGGCTCAAACTCTTGGGTTGGGGATCCCCGGGCCGAGGTGGCTGGTTGGGAACCAACAGGTCTCAGTCCTTGGGCTCTCAGCACCGCTGAGAGGCAGCAGAAGAGCTGAGACAGGATGTACGAGCTGGACCAACCTGCAGCCTAAGGTGGGGAGGGGGAGAAGATGAGCTCTGGTGGTGCCCCCCACCACTAGCGGGGAATGAGACTCTTGGTCACGGTGACTCGCTTGGGTGTGTATCATGGCTGCCCGGTGCTGCCTGTGCTGCAGCACTTTGTGAAGTGAACAGAGTCTACGCACCCACACAGTGAGTGTGAACACAGCTCTGAACTTGGGACGTTGTAAGCTGAGTCTCTGCAGGTGGAATGGTTTCCATCATGGCTGGCTTGGCTAGCTTCCTTAAGTAGGCAGCCTCCGTGGCTGGAATGCAGAGGAGTCTTCAGAGGGAGGTTAGGTGGCAGCTCGGTAGTTGAAGGCCTTCTCCATGGTTTGTCATGGTGGGCCCCAAAGATGAGAGGTAGTCCATGGTTTTAAAATGTTTATTGTCATGATGGAAAATGGATGTAGCTGTACCCCATATTTTCAGGGCGGGCCTGAGGTTAAATATCTTTTGCAAGTAGGAGGAGGGTCTGGGAAAGAATGTTTAATTGGCTACGCCCTCTGGCCTTTAGGTATCTCATGAATATGAAGATGTCTTGAGGCTCTGCAGCCTCTACCTGTGGAGGGGCTAGTAGGGGTTGTCCTACATGCCTGAAAGGCATGGATGGATGGAGATCTTCCGCCTCATGTCAGGAGCCTGGAGTCTGGGAGCATGGCAAAATGCATGCTGTCCCTTGCAGGGAAACCTGTGAAGTCTCCAACCTGTTGGGTCTCTGGCCATCTCTAGCCAGTGCTCAACCAGAAACCATGCTGTCCTTTCACAGTCCTACACACCCATATGAGGCTTAGTCAAGCAGCGAGACTATCCCTACACTAACACCTACCCTCCTTCATTTCCATTCCTATGTGAGCATCTGAAAGTTCAAGTGACTTCCTGAGAGTTCCATCATGGGTCATACAGACAAGACTTTAAACAAGGACTTCTGATCATCAGGCTCATGGTTTTGTTCATTATGTTATTGAAGGAAAAAAAGATGGAGTTATGATGAAATGGAATTTTGATGAACAGGAAGGAGAGCCAAAGTTTAAACTTCTGAAACACCAATACACATCTCTTTCCTTGTGGTAAAAATTAGAAAGTCTAAGTATGACAATTGTCACTGAAGGTAACCTGGAAATGCCACAGCTTGTCAGAGGGTATATAAATTGGATCATCAACTCAGAAAACAATTTGCCAGGGCCTTGTGAAGTTCAAGATGAATATGCTTTAGGCTACAACACTTAGACAATCTTTTAAATGTGTCCAGTATATTAGTACAATATTTTTTTAAAATCAAAGTCATATCTAGTTTCATGAGACCTGAGCCTTCTTAATCTGAGGTATTCTTCTTAAGAAAGAGAATACATTATAAACATAAGTAGGTGTCAGCTTAGAACAAAAGAAAGAATTGTAAGAAGTTTCTGGTTTAAGTTAGCTAAAGTATGTTTTTTAGAACTCTATCAAAACCTTCCCGGAGAGACTACAGAGATGGTTCAGTTTTTGAAGAGCACTGGATGCTGTTGTAGAGGACCTGAGTTCTATTCCCAGCACCCAAATGGCGGCTCATAATTGTCTGTAATTCCAGTTCCAGGAGATACAACGTCCTCTTCTGGCCTCTGTGGATACCAGGAACACATTTGGTACACAGATACACATGCGGGCAAAACACCTTAAAAAATAATCCTTCGTAGAGTTCAGGAATAAGGCTGACATAATTTACTACACAGATAGAAAATATCAGAGGGTAACAACATGGACATTTCATTTGTTTCTCACTCTTAGCCACTTCAAGAAACTTTGTGAATGAGAGAAAGTCTGGTAGACAAGCCTTTTTTATGTTGTAGGAGGAGCAATTCATGGGTGTTTAATCACTAGAGTAACAAAATGAGTAAGAACACGGATGCAGCAAGACTGTTACGTAACTTGGTGTATACAGCCAAAGTGATTGTGATGATGGAGTTAAGGCATGAAGAATTCTTGGCATGGAACAGCCACTCTGTAACACTCTGCCCATCATCATGGCTGGCACAGTACGACATTCACATTAGAAATGTCATTCCTGCTGCGATCGGGAAGGTGGTGAATCTAAAGGCAGAAGTGTGGATCTAAACACTGAAAACGTATCAGAAGAAGATAGAATTTGACACAGTAAAAGATAAAAGGGAGCGGTTGGATCTGAGCACAAGGCAGGCAGGCAATGGTTAGCTTTCACTGCGTTTAGATTACCCATTGCTAACTTTCCATCTCATCCACTGGGGGCCTTTTCCTTAGGTTACTGAAAGGTGGTCCTCTGCTCAGTTTTCTTATTAACCCTTTGGCTTACGTAGAGGAACATAGTCTCCCTGAGACTTAGACTACAGTTCTTAAAATCTAGCAGAGCAAAGAGGAAGAAGAAAGAAGATGAGACAGAAAAAATAACCTGAAGAGAAATTGAGCTTGCTGGTTGTTGGTTTCCCTTTCTTTGGGGGAAGGGGATATCTAACATACTTTTATACTTTAAGATATCAGCTCTGTCTACATATTTGGAAGGCTACAAGTTTCTGCTTTTTTCCTTTTTCAAGGTTCCAGAAGTGCCCAAAAGTATTTTTATTGGAGATATTTTGAAGTCTGTCTAGAGAAGAGTTTTATAATTCTTTCAGGCCATTTTTTTCCCAGTACTTTTTCTGGTCCTTTTCTTCTTCTTCTTTTCTTTTTTTCTTTTCTTTTCTTTTTGAGACAGGGTTTCTCTATGTATCTCTGGCTGTCCTGGAACTCACTCTGTAGAAGACCAGGCTGGCCTTGAACTCAGAAATCCACCTGCCTTTGCCTCCCAAGTGCGTGCGCCACCACCGCCTGGCTTCTGGTCCTCTTCTTACAGGTAAATTTCTGACATTCTCATATGGCAAAATTCTAACCTTTCTCAAAACTCAGCCTAACTAACTTTTTCTCTGGGTTGCCACTTTACTTGCCACATACATATCTATGTGTGCTCTTGCTGGATATAATGTAATGATTTCTCTCTGTTTCTGTCTCATTGTCTCTGTCTCTTTGTCTGTCTCTGTCTCTCTATCTCTCCCCCAAGCTTCATCTTTACATCATAAGGTCCTTGATGGACAGGACTATGGTGTCTTACAGTGACAACTTTAATTATTCCTAATCTTGACCTTTTCTTGTTTAACTAGATAAAAGCATTATCATGTGCCTCACTGAGTTATGAAAAAAACTTTGTGTAAACTTAAAATGTAGCTGAATACATGAAAAGGTCATTGTTTTCAGTTCAGACAAATGCAACTGAGAGAAAGACTTGTGATTCTGGCAAGCAAAGCTTCAGTCTGTCCTTTTAAAGCAATGGAGTGTTTGGATACCACACAACAGTGACTTCAGCAGGTTTGGAGTCTGACTTCCCACAGCTCAGAACTCCTCTCCACGCTTAAGACTCTGTACAGACACTTGCCTTCTGCATCTGTCAATCCTGCCCACGAGTATTCCTCAGTTTTCTCTTCGATGACTCGGAAGAAACTTCCTAGCTACTTTTGAGAAACCTGAGCTTTGTGCCTTAGCCCCGCCTACCTCAACTCCTGCACAGCCACCCTCTCCACCCACGTGATCCAACCCTTTGGCCCGCCTCTCAAGCGCCGGCACACGATCACGCATGCTCAGCCTCTGCCTAGCGTGATGACGTCAGAGAGCACGCGGGGTGACGTAGCTCAGTTGCAGCGTGCTTTAACTCTGGGTTTTCGCTCAGGTCCCACTTACAGTGTAACATAGGCTTCTGTGTTCCGTGTAGTTGGACCTTCCGTGCTTTCGGAAGCCGGACGCGGAGGCGGGGTCCTGCAGGGACGGCTCGGGGCGCGGAGGAAAGAGCAGCACGAGCGCCTGACGGCAGGACTGCGCGGGTGAAGAAGGCTGCCCCCGCGGGCTGCGAGCTCGGGACGTACCCTGGCCGGTCTCACAATGCTCGGGACCCGGCGCCTACTCGGCGCGCTGCGCCTCTGTTCCTCCGTTTCCTGCCCCAGGCCCCGCGCGTCTGCCAAAATGCGCGTGCGGGATGCCCTCGGGGTCCAGGACGCGAGTGGGGAGTGCGTAACGGTGCAGGTGGGTGTGTGGAAAGACTGCTTGCTGCCTGAGCTTGCTTGGCTCCGAACTGTCCTTTTGGACCAAGCTTGGGCTGAGCAAAGTTGGAAGTGAAGGCGTCTCGAGAGTCCACACTTGTGAGACCGTGCTGTTAGTTTTGCAAATCGTTCTGAGGAGAAGTGCAGCAGCTGAGTTTTTCATGACATCTAGGCGTTAGGTGTAAACACTTTGATCATACGGAAAAGTTGAAATGAACACGCCCCCATTTATTTATTTATTTATTTATTTATTTATTTATTTATTTTTGCAGTAATAACATGGGATGTCTTGCCCTAGTTTCTTGAGAGCAGAAATTCTGTCTTCCCCTTTTTCCTGTTCACCTGGTTGGCAGGAAATAGTGGCTCCAGGTGTCCAGCCTTTTGACATTGCAACAAGATGTTTCCACCTACCAAGGTCATACTTGAGCCATCGAATTATCGGTTCTACTGTCCAGTTTAAAAGTCTCCTAACGTTTACCGCTCCGTGTCGGGCTGCATTCATAGCTATCCTCAGTCGGTCATTGGACACAGAACCCATGCCTGTTCAGTTTCAGCTACTTAGGCTCTCGAGACTTCCATATAACTAAACTAGGAGAAAGAGCAGGATGTTGTAGTTTGACAAGCTAAGGGCTGCAGTTGCCTTGGCTTAACTCGCTTGCCCTATCTAGCTTGTTACTTACAGGCATGTCATTATAGTGCCTCAGGCCTCCGTTTCTCTTATGAAAATGGAGATAGTCTATATTTTGGAGAGGTCTGAAAATTAAACGAGTTAATGAGTATACGCTATTTAGAACAGGCCTCTCAGTTAATGTTAGCTGCTGTTATTTGAATAGATCTTCAAGGCACAGAAAGAATAAGACTGGTGCTTGGTTTTTTCTCCTTGAGTTGCTGAAACACTCTAATAGGTCTTACCTATATTCTTGGTATCTAGCAGTATGACCAAGCTGTTCTTCCTTGCGTTTATTTCGGTTTTATACTTGTTCCATGATCCAAATCAAAGCTATCAAAACTGTTTGTTGTCCTCTTTGATTAATTTGATGTGCACTAATGATATCATTTGGGTGATGATCAAAAGAAGATTCAAAGATGAACTGAACCTACTACCTAAGTAACAGGCTTTCTTTTACTTGGGTGCTTCACAGTATAATATGGAAACTGCTAGCCACTGTGGCTCTGAGCACTTGAAGTGTGTTTCAACTGCATGGAGATGTGTTGTAAAAGTAAAAGACATAATAACTTTGAAGAGTAAAGAAATATGAAAATATAAATATATAATAAATATATATTAATAAAAATATTTTATATTGATTATATGTAAATGATACTCAGAGTATAATTGGTTGAATAGCATGTTATTACCTATTTTTACTTTTAATGTGAGGACAAATCTTTTTAAAGGTTAATTTTATCTTGTATTTATGTATATGTGTCTGCATGAGTTTATGCCACATAGACAGGAGTACTGTGGAGAGCCGTAGTGGGTGTTGGATCTCATGGAGCTGAGTTACAAGCAGTTGTGAGCTTCCTCAGAAGGTACTAGGAACCACACTCAGGTCCTCTAAAAGAGTAGCAAGTGCTCTTAACCTTGGAGCCAACTCTTGTAAAACTCACACTATCTTTCTGTTTAGCCCTAGTTTATAGTAGTGTGGTACTTATTAGTGGTCTGAATAAAGAGCTATAAGAAAATAGGGAGTTCCTGAGCTGTGTGGAGGTGAAGAAGGTGTTACCTGCACATCTGGCTGTCTTGGAGGATAGCATCCCCCGGCAGGGTAACTGAGGTACTGGAAATAGCGGCAGGATGGGAAGGAAATAGCATTCCAGAAAAGCTTGTTGATACTTCAGAATAATGACTGTGTTTGAGTTCCATTGTACTACCTGATAATTTTTTTTCTACCTGGATAATCTTTTAAATTTTTTTTCTGTGTCTGTTCTTTTCATAAATCCCTGCAGCCACTTTGTTTAGCCCTTGTAAGGATTAAATAGCACAATACTTAGAATTTAGGACAGAAGCACAAAAATAGTCCTCAATGTTAACCTTCCAACAAGTAAAAGTAAGAGTGGCACTTCGGAAGTTACCATTGACTGAGAGTGAGCAGATGTGGGTGCCTTTGTGGGCTCGGTGCGATGAAGTGCCCTGTACATGAGACTGAAGTGGTTCACACTTCGTGCTGTGTAACACTTTCTGTTCACATAACTTTGAGTTCACACTTGTACACCAGTTCATCAGCACTGTGACTTTTATCTAACAGCCCGGAGCCACCAATTGCTAATTTGTCAGAGAGGTATGATAATCATTAGGATTTCTATGAGAAGGAGACAAGACAGTATATGAAAGAAGTAACCTTTTTTTTTTTTAACATGACACATATGGTAGAAGATACTATTTTACTTAAACATGTGTGTTGGAGAGATGGCTAGGCAGTGATGAGCACTTGGTACCATTCTAGAGAATCAGAGTCTTTTTCCCAGAGGAGCAGAGTCCATTGGCAGAACCTAAATCAGGAGGGTAAGTGCAGCTCGGTAAGTGCAGCTCCAGGGAACCCAGTGCTCTCTTCTGGCCTCTGCAGGCACCTGCTCTTACCCGTCATACTCATACACATAAGTGAAAATAAAGAGGCAGAGTGTGATGGTACACACATTTAATCCCAGTGCATGGGACACAGTGGCAGATGGATCTCTTTAAGTTCCAGGCTGGACCCTAGACCTTGTCTCAAAAATAAACAACAACAAAAACATTGGACTGTTGTCTATGTACTCTCAGTAAACTTAAGAACAAGTAAGTGTGCTTCTTTCCCTTAAAGTATTCTGGGCACACCTGTAATCATGTATGTAGGTATTGCTGACCGACAGGCATGGTAATAATAGGAATTTTTGTGTGTATATATAGCTTAATTTCTTGCTTTCGACAAGTGTGATTAGTAAGAAGTATCTATCCATTTCTTTACATTTAGGGGATACTTCACAGTGTATCTTTGAGTGTCTTTGAAAATATTGTTCTCTGTTAACTCTTGTGCTGGTTACATTCAAGTTAGGAATGTAGCTGCTAGTCTACTTGAAGACGTCTCATTTGTACTTGCACATACCTGTCATTTAAGTTAAGGCTGTCTTTGAAATTTATGTATCACTGTGTGTTTATAATGAGTCTTTTCTTTTTATCATGAATTTTTACTTGTTTGGTGTTAACATTTCTGTTCCTGCTGCAGAGCAGTTTTTGCTGTAGCAAAAGATCACATTTGAAAAATACTCAAGCTGGGCGGTGGTGGCGCACGCCTTTAATCCCAGCACTTGGGAGGCAGAGGCAGGCGGATTTCTGAGTTCGAGGCCAGCCTGGTCTACAGAGTGAGTTCCAGGACAGTCAGGGCTACACAGAGAAACCCTGTCTCGAAAAAACCAAAACCAAAAAAAAAAAAAAAAAAAAAAAAGCTCAAGAGGCTGTTTTTGATATTAATATTTCTAAAATTTTAATTTATTGGTTAACATACAAAGAAATGGGTTTCAGTGCAGGAGAGATGGCTCAGTGGTTAAGAGTACTCACTGTTCTTTGAGAGGAATAACAAGACAAGAGTTTAGCTCCCAATACCCACATAAGCCAGCTCCTAACTGTAACTCCAGCTGTAGAGGATCTAACACCTTCTCCTGGTACCCCTATACACATGATGCATACAGACACACAAATAATTTTTTAAATCTAGTATGAACCCACAAGAATTAAAAAAAATAGATTTCTTTCATTGTGACATTTTTATATGTATATTTCATTATACTTTTTTGTTTGTTTTGGGTTTGTGGTTTTTGTTTTTGTTTTTTTTGTTTTTTGTTTTTTTGTTTTTTTTGACCTAGACTAGCTGTGTAATCAAAGTCGCCCTCAAACTTGGGGTCCTCTTGCCTTGGCTTCCAGGTGCTGGATCACAGGTGTATACCATACTTAGCTTCATGAGACTGTTGTTTTGTTTCGTTTTTTATTTTAGAAATTTTTGTGTGATATCTTGTATTTTGTAAACACAACAAACTATCATATGATATTTCTAGTCTAATGATCTCTCTGGCTGACATAAGGAGAAAGACACTAACATGTAAATTGTAATTTTTTTTTTTTTGTAATTGCAAAAGGAATATTTTTGAAAAGCCAATATTAAGGTACGCCACTAAATATCCATCCCGCTGTGATATGAATCACATGGAATCATGTACACATACAGCTAAGCCGAAAGCAGTTCATTTTATGTGGCTGACATACTGAGGCAAGATTGTGAACATCTCTTTCAGTCTTTTTTTGAATGTGAAATGAAGATGTAAAGTGTTTGATTTTTAAGCTCCTATTTAACAATACGTCCTTTCAGGGATGGATCCGGTCAGTCAGATCTCAGAAGGAAGTTTTGTTCCTGCATATAAATGATGGGTCTTCTTTGGAAAGTCTTCAGGTTGTTGCTGGTTCAAGCTTTGACAGTAGGTAGGTAGGTTTGTTTGTCTGTTTGCTTGTCTTATCCGTTCTGTTTTCTAAAGAGTTGCTTTTTCTTTTCTAGTGTTCTCCACTTCCCTGATTGTTTTCTTTGACACCTGAATGATTGATCTTTCTAAGCATATCTATGAAAAATAGCTTTGAAGAAAACTCCAGGTCTTTGGAGTCAGGAGCCTTCAAGCTTAACACTTTCACATGTTGATATCTTCTGCCCATGCTTTACTCCAATCTTTTCAAACTTATTCACTCCTCCCCTCATGGTTGTTTTTAGACCTTGCACATGTTGGTCCCTCTGCCTGATACAGTCCTGTTTGTGGTTCCAGTTTAGACATCATCTGGTGTTTATATCCTGTGACTATGACAGGTGCTTCTCTGCTCCCACGGTAGCCTGTACCCATCCTTCATAGAATACATAACATTGTTTGGAAATTAATTAGTAATTAACTTATTAGACTCATTTAAGTACTCAGTCTTTGAAGTTAGAAATGATGTATTCAGTTTTTTTGTTCATAGCTTCTGACAGTGTTGGAAAATAACCAATTATTATTGAATAACTGGAATTTTTATGGTCTCATTATTACATGTTAGATCTAATAGCATTTTGTGTTGAAGTATAACCTCTCACCTTGACCAAAGCAACGTATAGAAGAGTAAGCTTTTTGGGGGCCAAAAAGTTTCAGGTTAAGAGTCCATGACCATCATGTTGGAGAGCATGGCAGCAGACATGCACAGTGCTGGAGCAGTCATTGAGGTGGAGAGAATGAGGAAGCTGACTGGAAATGCTCTGGGCTTTTGCACCCTCAAAGCCCACCTTCAGTGACACACCTCCTCCAATAAAGCCATACCTCCTAATCTTCAAACGGTTCTACCAACTGAGGACCATACATTAAATAAATGAGCTTCTGGGGCCCCTCCTCAGTCCTACCAACACACTGTTCCACTGTGACAACCTTTTAAAAGAGGTTTGTGTTCCTCTGATGATATCTGTGAAGGTAACAATTGCATGGCTCTGTTTAGCCCTGCTAAAGCATGAGGCAGCTCATAGCTGCTCAGACAGTCTGAAGCAGCCCCACATCCCCATACCTGGGATTAAAACAAAAGCTATTTCTATGTTTTTTAAAGAAGCCAAAATTCTCGAAATGTGGGGCCTCCTCTTTAAAAAAAAGACACAATAAAATCTACATGTGCCAGGCAGTGGTGGCGCACACCTTTAATCCCAGCACTTGGGAGGCAGATGTAGGTGGATCTCTTTGAGTTCCATGCCAGCCTGGTTTACAGAGTGAATTCTAGGCCCTTCTCCCACACCCTCCAAAAATCACAACAGTTACATAATTTGTTAATTCTAAATACTTGAGTAAATTGTTAACTCCCCTTGTTCCCATTTTAAAATTTAAGGAATTCATTTTTATAGTCCCTAGTCCTGCAAGAGTGCTTGCAGATTATTTAACTAAGGGTACTTTTGACATTGTATACTCTAGCAAGATTATAATTGAAATAAAGGCTATTGATAATGTCTTTTCTGATCTCAGTTTTTTTGTTACTATAGAGAATTGGCTTTTGGGAGTTCTGTGCAAGTTCAAGGGCAGCTGGTCAAAAGTCTGTCCAAGAGGCAAAATGTGGAACTGAAGGCAGAAAAGATTGAAGTTATTGGAAAATGTGAAGCCAAGGTATGTTTGCTGGCAGTTTTAAGGGGCTGTTTAGGTTTAATTTAAAACATGGGTGGTCTGTTTAAGTCTGTTGAGAGGATGACACTTAGGGCGAGTTTCATTTGTGACTTTCCTGATCATTGAAACAGACCACATTACCTAGCATGAAGTAATGTTCCAGTGATTGCTTCAGCTTCTAGAGGCCAAGTATTCCTTAGTCTGTACATCTCTCTGGTACCTGTCCCTTCTGAAGTCTGTCTGCTGGACATTGACTTCTTGTTTTTGCTAGAACTGATTTTTAAAAACTAATGGGCATAATTACTGTCCCTTGCTCTCTGCGGTTCTTATACTTTTGGTTTAGTGTTATATATTTATTTTAAACTTTTATTGTTCCAAATCTCAAATCCAAGACCTCAACATGTATGTGGGTGGTATCCCCTGTCCCCTGCCCCCTGCCCTTGTGCTAAAAATCAAACCCCAGATCCTGCCATGGGTAAATGCTACTCCCTCCCACAGCTGAGTGTTACTTAACATATTCAGACATGAGAGAATTCTCAGTCTCTACTGATGGGACTATTGCTTTCCTCTAATAAGTGTGATATCTGTTTCTATACAGCATAAGAATTAATATTTATCCAAGATCTAGAGTACAGAGGAGACTAGAAGCAGAGTGCTAGCTATTTATTTATTTATTTATTTATTCTTTTTAACTTTACTGTTATCTTTAATTGAAGGTTAAGGTTTTGTTTGAAAGAGATGTTTGTCTTGTTCATTTCATAACCTAAGTATGGACAGGTTGGAAGTGTTTCAGGTTAGAATGATAATTTCCTTTAAGTTTTTTCCCCAATCTTCAGTACTGTGCTAAATGAAAGAAAGCTGTTGCCAAGATAACAATAACAAATTGATAAACAATAAAGCCACCTTAATAAGTTATGCTTGTGGACTTTCAAGGCATTGGGAGAAGTACCAACTGTGTGTGTGTGTATAGTGGTAGGAAAGTCTTCTATGCCTGTAGTGTTTGAGCTCATGTGTCAGAGTGAATTATTTTGAATAATTACCTGCAAACCCCTTTAGTTTTAAGAAACTGACAGCTAATGGATAGAAATTTGATAAATAACAGGCAAGTGTCAGTGACATTGAGTAATTTAACTGCTAAGTAGTAAAGCTGGCTGTAACCCAGCATCTAACCTAACTCCACCCAACTGTTGTGTTTACCTGATAGAAGTAATTGGGTCATAATCCATTTTATTAAGAAATAGGGGCTAGAGAGAGGGCTCCAAGGATAAAGATGCTTATCTCTAAGCTTGATGTGACCTAAGTTTGAGTCTTAGGACCTACATGGTTGCAAGAGAAAACCAACTCCAATTTGTCCTCTGATCTTCATACATTTGGTGGTGGTGGTGGTGGTGTGTGTGTGTGTGTGCAGAAATGTGCACATGAACACACACAAATACATGTAATTAACTTTTTTTAAAAAATAGAGAGGCAAAGCATCTTCCCAAAGCACTGCTGTTTTAATATTATTCTCTGCTTTTGTTTTCTTTTAAATTTTCCCCATATTTTTGCCAGGAATTCCCTATAAAGTATAAGGAGAGACATCCTCTGGAGTACCTGAGACAGTATCCTCACCTGAGGTGTAGGACTAATGCTCTGGGTTCTATATTGAGGGTCCGCAGTGAAGCCACAGCTGCTATTCATTCTTACTTTAAGGTAAGGCATTTTGCTTCTGTGTGTTTTTTCTAATGCAGAATTTGAATAATTGTAAGCCTGGAGTGTTTTCCTGAAAGATCTCATTTGTTTTAAATACTCTTTACTCCATAAAAAATTAAGTGTCACAGACATGCATATGTGTCTTCTCCCCTTCCCTCTTCTCTTTCCTGGTATGTTTAATAGCATTGTTGAGGAACAACTGGCATAAGGAACTGTACATGCTGAATGTTTATGGTCTGATGAGTTTGGACATGACTATGCACCTGAAGGCATCACCACTGTGAGGGGATGTCTGCGACCCTGAAAGTTCATATCTGTAATTAAATATCTCTTATTTTACCTTCATTTTTAAATGCTTTTTGGAATATAGACTTGCAGGTCGGTAGACTTTTTTGTGTATATGCGTGTATGGGTGCTTTGCGTTTATATATGTGCATGCGTGTACCATGTGGAAGCTAGAAGAGGGTGTGAGATTCCCCTGCGACTGGAGTTACAGACAGCCTTGAGCCACTGTCTATGCTTAGGGAATGGAACATCCTATGGAAGAGCAGCAAGTGTTCTTAACCACTGAGACACAGGTCTTTGAAAATAGGCTTCTCTTGAAGTCACGTGTAGCCCAGACGGCCTCTTCTTGCCTCAGCTGCCCAAGTTTGAGAGTTACAGACAGGAGCCCAGATTCCTTAAAGTTACCACTGTGTCTTCTCATTGTTTCTAGTGAGACTTGATGTTCTCTTTTTCCTTGGTTCCTCTGAATAATATCTTTTTCCTTTGGCTTCTCTTTGTCACTGTTTTTTGTTTGTTTTAAAATTCAATTATTATTTGTTTTGGCATAGTTTTGTTTGTCTCTGTGTTCGGGCTGGTTAAGTTCTTGGACTTTTTGACTTTTGTTTTTTATTTGCAGTGTTGCTGAAGCTTTCCTGATATTTGCAATTCTCCTGATTTTAGTCCCCTTATAGCTAGCCATGTGTCAGCATGCCCAGCTCCTGAAGAGTGCTTTTAGCCATCATTTTAAAAAAATATTTTTTTGTTGTCTCTGAGATTATCCCCGTGTTAGACTACTTAAGAATATCACATAGCAGGGCCTCAAGCATGCTAGCCGAGTGCACTTGTGGGCAAAAGATCAGTTCTTAACCCTTGTTTGTTTTGAGGCAAGAATCTCATTAAGTTGCCCAGGCTGGCCTTGAACTTGTGATACTCCTACCTCAGCCTCCTAAGTAGCTAGAATCACAGGCCTGCACAACTTCACCCACCTGGGACTTGTTTTTTATGTCATGTCTACTTAACTTTTCTCTCTTCCTTCCTTCCTTCCTTCCTTCCTTCCTTCCTTCCTTCCTTCCTTCCTTCCTTCCTTTCTTTCTTTCTTTCTTTCTTTCTTTCTTTCTTTCTTTCTTTTCCAAGGGCCTCTCCTCCCATTGTTGCCAGCTAAGGCCATCCTCTGCTACATATGCAGCTAGAACCATGCATCCCTCCGTGTGTACTCTTTGGTTGGTGGTTTAGTTCTTGGGAGCTCTGGGGTGTCTGGTTAGTTGATATTGTTGTTCTTCTGTTGGGGTTTCAATCCCCTTCAGCTTCTTCATTCTTTCCCCTAACCTTTCCATTGGGGTCCCCATGCTTAGTCCAATGGTTGGCTGTGAGCATCTGCATCTGTATTTTCAAGCTCTGGAAGAGCCTCTTGGGACAGTTCTACCAGGCTCCTGTCAGCAAGAGTTTGTTGACATCAGCAATAGTGTCTGGGTTTGGTGTGTGCAGTTGGGATGGATTCCTAGGTGGGGGAGTCTCTGGATGGCCTTTCCTTCAGTCTCTGTTCTGTTCGTTGTCCCTGCATTTCTTTTAGACAGAAACAATTCTGGCTTAAAATTTTTGAGATGGGTGGGTGGCCCCATCCCTCAACAGGGGGCTGGGGAGGGGGAGATGTGCCTATCCACTGGATGTGGTCTCTACAGGTTCTCTCTCCCCTTTGTTGGGTATTTTGACTAATGTCATCCTGGTTGAGTCATGGGAACCTCTTGATTCCCTGGCATCTGGGACTTTCTAGTGGCTACTCTGTCTCCTATCCCCCACTGCTACACACCTCAATTCAATTTCCTGACCCTGGGTACTGCTCCTGTCTCCTCCCACACCTGACCTTGCCCCCTCCTTTTTTTTCCCTCCCCCTCCTCTCTTCCTCCCAGACCCCTCCTTCCCTCTACCTCCCATGATTATTTGTTCCCCCTTCTAAGTAGGACTGAAACATCCACACTTTGGTCTTCCTTTTTGTTGAGCTTCGTATGGTCTGTGAGTTGTATCGTGGGTATTCTGAGCTTTTTGGCTAATATCCACTTATTAGTGAGTACATACCATGTGTATTCTTTTGTGACTGGGTGGCCTCACTTAGGATGATATTTTCTAGTTCCATCCATTTGCCTGTGAATTTCATCAAGTCAGTTGTTTTTAATAGCTGAGTAGTACTTCATTATGTAAATGTATCACGATTTCTGTATCCATTGAGGGACATCTGGGTTGTTTCCAGCTTCTGGCTATTATAAATAAGGCTGCTATGAACATAGTAGAGCATGTGTCCTTGCTATACGTTGGGTATCTTTTGGGTATATGCCCAGGAGTAGTGTAGCTGGGTCCTCAGGTAGAACTATTTCCAATTTTCTGAGGAACTGCCAGACTGATTTCAAGAGTAGTTGTACCAGCTTGCAATCTCACCAGCAATGGAGGGGTGTTCCTCTTTCTCCACATGCTTGCCAGCATCTGCTGTTACCTGAGTTTTTTATTTTAGCCATTCTGACAGTTGTGAGGTTTCTGTTAAACATTTCTTTAGGTGCTTCTTGGCCATTTGAGATTCCTCAGTAGAGAATTCTCTGCTTAGCACTGTACCACATTTTTAAATAGGATCATTTGGTTCTCTGGAGTCTAACGTCTTGAGTTCTTCATATTGGGTATTAGCCCTCTATAGATTGTAAAGATCTTTTCCTAATCTGTAGGTTGCCGTTTTGTCCTATTTATAGTGTCTTTTGCCTTATAGAAGGTTTTCAGTTTTATGAAATCTCATGTGTCAGTAATTGATCTTGGAGCTTGAGCCATTGGTGTTCTGCTCAGGAAACTTTTTCCATGCTGATGTGTTTGAGGCTCTTTTCCACTTTCTCTTCTATCAGATTCAGTGTACTTGGTTTTATGTGAAGGTCCTTGATCCACTTGGACTTGAGCTTTGTACAGTGGATCAATTTGCATTCTTCTATATGCTGGCCATCAATTGTTCTAGCACCATTCATTGAATATGCTGTCTTTTTTCCACTGGATGGTTTTGGCTTCTTTGTCAAATATCAGGTGACTATAGGTATATAGGTTAATTTATGGGTCTTCAATTCTATTCCATTCATCTACCTGCCTGTCTCCATATAGTTTTTATCAGTTGTCCTATAATACAGCTTGAGGTCAGGAACTGTGATTTTCCCCAGAAGTCCTCTTCTTGTTGAAAATATTTTTTGCTATCCTGGGTTTTTTGTTATTCCAGATGAATTTGAGAATTGCTCTTATGAAGAATTGAGTTGAAGTTTTGATGGGGATTGCATTGAATCTGTAGATTGCTTTCAGCAAGATGGTCATTTTTACTATATTAATCCTGCCACTCCATGAACATGGGAGATCTTTCCATCTTCAGAGATCTTCTTCAATTTCTTTCTTCAAAGACTTGAAGTTTTTGTCATATAAATCTTTCACTTGCTTGGTTAGAGCCACACCAAGGTATTTTATATTATTTATGACTATTGTGAAGAGAGTTATTTCCCTAGTTTCTTTCTCAGCCTGTCTATCCTTTGAGTATATCCAGCCACTTTGCTGAAGTTGTTTATCAGCTGTAGGAGTTCTCTGGTGGAATTCTTGGAGTGACTTAAGTATACTATCATATCATGCACAAATAGTGATAACTTCCTCCTTCCCAATTTTTATCCCTTTGGCTTCCTTTTGTTGTTTCATTGCTCTGAATAGATAGGGAGAAAGTGGACAGCCTTGTCTTGTCCCTGATTTTAGTGGGATTGCTTAAAGTTTCTCTCCATTTAATTTAATGTTGGTTACTGGTTTGCTGTATATTGCTTTTACTATGTTTAGGTAGGGGCCTTGAGTTCCTGATCTTTCTAAGACTTTTAACATGAAGAGGTGTTTATTTTGTTAAAGGCTTTTTCAGCATCTAATGAGATGATCTTGTGATTTTTTTTTTTCCTTTGAGTTTGTTTATATAGTGGATTACATTGATGGATTTCCATGTATTGAACCATCCCTGCATCCCTGGATAAGGCCTACTTGATCATTGTGAATGATTGTTTTGATGTGTTCTTGGATTTGCGTTTGTGAGAATTGTATTGAGTATTTTTGTATCGATATTCATAAGGGAAATTGGTCTGAAGTTCTCTTTCTTTGTTGGGTCTTTGTGTGATTTAGGTATCAGCGTAACTGTGACTTCATAGGTCGAATTAGGTAGTGTTCCTTCTGTTTCTATTTTGTGGAAGAGTTTGAAGAGTATTGGTATTAGGTCTTCTTTGAAGGTCTGATAGAATTCTGCACTAAAATCATCTGGTCCTGGGCTTTTTTTTGGTTGGGAGACTTTTAATGACTGCTGCTATTTCCTTAGGGTTATGAGACTGTTTAGATGGTTTATCTGCTCCTGATTTAACTTTGGTACGTGGTATCTATGTAGAAAACCATCCATTTCACCTAGATTTTTCAGTTTTGTTGAGTATAGGCTTTTGTAGTAGGATCTGATGTTTTTTTTCTAATTTCTTAAGTTTCTGTTGTTATGTCTTCCTTTTTATTTCTGATTTTGTTAATTTGGATACTGTTTCTGTATGCCCTCTGGTTTGTTTGGCTAAGGATTTATCTATCTTGTTGATTTTCTCAAAGAACTAGCTCCTGGTTTTGTTGATTCTTTGTACAGTTCTGTTTGTTTCTAACTAGTTGATTTCAGCCCAGAGTTTGATTATTTCCTGCTGTCTACTCCTGTTGGGTGTGTTTGCTTC